AGAGCTGTACCTCATCCCTACGGGGGATATTGCGGCCGTGGTGTTTGCGACGGAATTCTTTTCTCAGTTGAGGAATAGAGGGATCGACCTTGACCGTGTCTCCCAGGTCAGGGCCGGACAGGATGGGAAGACATTGGACAAAACTTCGAACACCAAATATGCAGCACAGATCATTGCCGAGCACATTCAGGGATGGCTTCCACTTCGTTCTACCGACCCAGGCTCCCAGCACGAGAACACAACTCAGAAGTCAGTTGGGACTCGGAGACGAACCCTCAGATTTATCAACCCACCTCGTACGGATCAACAAAGCTCCTCCTCTCAAGCCACACCCATCCAACGTGCTCTGATGGGTTCCGGTGTTCCTTCACCAGCTCCTGCTTTCGATCCAGCTTGCCTTCTCACCATTCCACGTCTTTCCAACACTTGGTTGACCGACGATTTGCCATGAGGCCTTGCCGATCGTACTTTTGCCAAGTGGCTCAAAGATCTCCCTGTCTCTGACGCCCAGCGCGATGTTCTCGTCTCTAACATTGCCAAAGCCGACGCATGGTGGTCAAATCAACCTGCCGATGCCGTGGAAACCATCCAAAAGGTTGCAGTGATGATGGGCATTCCTGTCTGTCAGCTACAGAAGAACTTCAACGCCACGAATCTCATCAAGGCTTTGACGGTGGCGATCACTATGACAAATTGACTAGCTCCACTTTTCTGGGAGAAACTCAAGCACAAAGTCTTTCAATCCTACCTTCACCTTATCCACGCGATGATGTTGGTGCTATACATTTTGGGACTCCCTTCGCCATGTCATCCACCATCGCTCTTTTTCAAGAGTTTTCGCATCACGCAAACCCGTTTGATGGTGTTGTCCATCATCCATGGCCTTAGGCCCAATCCCAAGCTGAAGGCAATTTTGGAAGGATGTGCCAATCTTGACCACTTGCGGGGTTTGTCCCTGACCTCCCACTATTTGTTTTCGAAGGATTTTTTCCTTCCAAATTGTGTATATATCCGTTTCACCCATATCACCAACACGCAACCCACATTTTTTATTTTATGTCTGCCATACACCATGTCTTGGGCCGGGGGTACAGTCGTTCCAAAAAATATCTTCAACTCAGCAACGACAAGTTGGTGCAAGCTGAACTGGCCCTTCGGTACCAGCGTGAACATCAGAACCTGCGCATCTGGGCCCCAATCCCTCTTTTTGTCTGTCGTGCTGATTATCGATGCCTCGAACTTGCGCTCATCCAAGAGTGGCAACCTCGATTGAACTACCTGTTTGTTTGTCAATTTTCCATCCCCGGAAAGGGCTTTTGAAGAAATCTGCCATGAACACCAATGCCCAAGTTGGGCTTGCTACACTCTGGCGACGTGCCAAACACAAATTCACACCTCAAGTCGTCAAAGATATCCTTTCCTCCGAACGGTTCCAAAACCGTCTTGAGCTTTACATCATCCACGCTTTGGGTCAAATACCAAGGCTAGGTTCGAAACTACCAAAACGTTGATCCGTCACATCCGGTATGTTGACAATCGGCTGATTTTTGGTGACAAATGACTTCACATTTGTACCGGGCCAGATCAAGAATTCCTTGGTTTCATGCTTGAAACCAAACCGCTCGAACTGATCTACTGTGGACCCACCAACATATCTCAAGTCCTGTCTCCATTTTCTGCGTCTCCACCAAAAGTGCTAGTCAGTGGTTTCCGCTCCCGTTGCCACATCATGGTAAAAGGAGCGTACACTCCCTTGAACAGCTAATTCATTTCTATTCATTTCTACACTTTGGCAAGTTTCTCCCGAGAAGAACTCAACTGCATTTCTTTTCAATTTTTCACCAATCGAGGTTAAAATCATTGCTGCCCGCTGTTCCTTTGGGTTTCCATTCCACTTCATTGCGCCCTCGTTTACTTTTTACTATGGTTCGTTAGTCTTTGGTTCAAGCTCGTGGTCCGTGCATTTGTTTGTCCCCTACGCTTTGTCGTGAAGGATGGCGCCTGGCAGATGAACCAGCGCCAAATCCACTACCATTTGGCCAGGGCAATCGTGCATTTAAACTACATCGCAGGCTCCTTGCCATTTTCTTCACCAGAAGTAAACATGGGTTCAGATCAGTGGGGTTTACATCAGTGATAGTTACTAAACCCAGTTTTCATAAATTTTCATATATATGTTTTTTAAACATATTTTAGCATGTTTTTTTTCAAATTATGTTTCTTCTATTTGTTTTAAAAACATGAAACCACGATTGGCACCTATTTTTTCAGCGTTTGCCATCATATGAAAACATTTGTTTTTCTCCATATGGTCATTTGATCATATGACATTTGAACAAATGGCAGTCGCACACAAAGTTTGAAGCACGTGACAGGCCTCGATGCATAGTCCTCAGTGACACAAAGTGAGAAAAAAACACACATCACAAACATTTGAATCATGTGAAACACACACTACAAGCAGACCCACAATGAGACATGAAATTCAAAGTCAGGATGCAAAACTGAACACACCTTCAATTCAGCAATTCTGTCAGGACCTGTGTGCTGGAAGTGCAGTGACACAGCGAACTAACAACATGTCATTGTATCACAACTCTAGAATTGCCCAGCTGCAAACCTTTAGGGTACCTGCCCAGTCAGAAGCACTGCCCACAAAAACAAAATGGCAAAAGCAAAGCAGTGAGGGATTGAGGGAGGCTGTTCTACAAAAAGGTTGTAACTGTTTTGCCATTGCAAAATTGCAGCCACAGCAATGAACATGTCCTCTCTGGTTGAACATGCAAAATTGAAAGCTTGCAACTTCAAACCATGTGTCAAAGTGCTTCTTGCCCAGTGCAAAAGATGCAGGCGCGAAACCCACAGCTCATTTTTTTGCACCAAAACGCCTGGTCATCTCAGAGTTGCCAAATTGAATTTTTGCTACAATGACACAGCAGGGACTGAACAATCCTTCTGCTGCACTCGCAGCTTTTGAATTTCAATGCACGCATCGCTTATGCGCGCTTCTGCACAAAACAATTAGAAACAGCTACGCCAAAGAGCTCTGGGTAAACCTCGGACTCCTGCAAAGCTGGTTGCACCCCACTATAGCCGCCATTCTCATCCCTGGATGCAAGGGACTCATCTGAGTTGGAAGGTTTGTCCCTTAGTAGGGCATCCAAGCTCCTGGTGCTCCACAACTGAACCGGTTTGCAAGTACTTGCTCCAAAAGCTCCCATGTACGTGGTGAATTTTTGGGCTTGTACCCACACCAACACATTCTGGAGCCATGGGTTTTTGACCATCGTGCTGGACTGAGGTTGCTCCAGTGTTGTGAAGTGGCCCAAACATGACGCCAGGAAGTAGAGTAGGCTTGTGACCATCATCAGTCGGTTGCCTTCAACGACAAAGGGCCGATCACAGTCTCCATGATACATGTTCTCTGCCGATCGGCGGGAACAACTGACACAGAGGCTCACCCAAGAACTGCACTTGGTGCCAAACCACACCAAAGAATTCGGCCGTAAAGCCTGGAGGCATTCCAGCCACAACAGCAAACCTGCCGGTTGTAAGCAGTCGTGGCAGGCACTCCACAAAATGTCCAGCCCAACACCAGCGAAGTTCTTGCGAAGCAAAGCTTTGGAAAGGTTTCCACGGCCGCAAGCATACTCCACAAAGTCCAAGTGGGCAGAGCCTTCCTCCATGGCAGTAATGGCCCTTTCCACAATCCAGAAGAGCATGCTCTCCAAAGTGCATTGGCTCAAACCAGGGTAAGCCGCTGCAAGAAGCCTGGCCCATTCACTGCTTGCACCTCCGTTGCTGCTTGCGTCGAAAGCCAAGAAATCTCGGATGTATTGCTGAACTTGCGCAAAATGTCCAACGCACTTGCACCTGTCACGATTCAAAGCTGCTTCCCAAGAACAAATCAGAACCACAAGCGAAGAAACACATGAGCTAGTTAAAATTTCAGCTAAATTGCGAAAAGATAGCAATGACGGCAGGAAAAAAGTTCACAAAAAAACGCTTGGGACGACAACAAAAAAAACCATAGAAACCCCCCAACCATGGCCTTCCAGCAGGACGATCATGATGAAAATCGGCCAAGGATACACCAGCAGAGGATTGCTTGAACTTCGCTTCAATGCGCATCACAGTTTTGTCTACGCTCTTGTCTGGCAAAGGAACATCTGGTTGGAAGAAGGTCTGCTCAGCAGGTTCGCTTTCAGGTTGAACCTGCCCGGGTACTGCCTCATGTCCGCTCTCCCCAGTGATCGGCAAGTCCTGCTTGGACCTGTTCTTGATCTTTTGCTTATTCTTTGGTTTGTCAGACATAGTCAACGGACTGAAGCACATAGCCGAGGCTAGCATCAGCGGAAGCCAGGGGCACAAGGTTGCGCCAGCATTCTTTTCACTATGCTTCTTCGTCTTGCGATGTCGAGACGGCATTGCTGGGGCACACACTAAAATGCTTGTTGAAGGGCGACTGCTGTGTTTGTCAATAATTTCAAAGCCATATGTCAATGTGACATGACAACCTCATGGGAAAATGCAGCCCAAGGCCAGCCATTACAATGTTTCATATTATGATAAATACTTGTGCAGAATCTTGAACAGAAAACTAGTTTCAATCTAAAATAGCCTCTGATTGATTGATGCTAGGGAACATCGCAGACCTTGATGAGCCAACTAAGTAACTAAGCATTCACTGCACAAGCCGCTCATGATGTGCAAGCGAGCAAATGGGCAGGTGATTTCTCATGTCATATGTCATGTGATCATGTGAAAGCTTCGACACATCACAACAGATGGGCATATATGAAAACAATCACCCAAAACTGAACAAAACTTGTTACTGCGAAAATTTTCACTCAGTTGAAGGTCTGTCCACTGCCCATGGCTCCAAAACATGGCGATGTTGCAATTTCAAACAGAATGTTTCTCAAAAAACGCGGCCCTCTTTCTTGGGCAACACGCAGCCACATCTGGCATCTGTGCAAATCGAAACATCGACAAAAATTTCAACTGCTTCTTGGGTACTTGACAGCTTGAGGCATCTCAGCAATAATTGGAGCCAATGCCTGGTAGACATTCTCCGGTACTACACCTGGGTCTTGCTCGTCTTTGTCGCATGGCCAAGTGTCTCTCACAAGAGCCCATTTAAGCCAGGCATGCTGATGCACAAGCTTCAAGGCCGATCTCCAGGAACAGTTCAAAAAACTACGGTTGAAAGTCTTTCCCTTGTACGGAGCGACATTGAACCTGTCATCACTCACCCGAGTTTCCACCTTGAAGCGGTGAGCATTCTTGTCAATAAAAATTCGGAACTTGTCACAAGGCTCAATCAACTTCATGATCTCAGCCGGTGTGCTGTGCACCTTTGGCCCAACATGCCTGTGCGCCCCGGGTTGAGGTGGTTCTTCCGGGGCCGCTGCGTGCTCAGGTTCCACTTGAAGGTCAGGAGCAGCTGCAGGCGCCTGCACCGGCTGTTCTTGAGGCTCATGTGCAATTTCCATCCTCTCATCCACTGATTCCTGTTCATGTTCTGCAAAATGTTGCGGAGGGCTCGCTGGTGCAGCGCTGGCCGAAGAGGATGGCTCCAACCCACCAACTGCATCAATGCCCACAGACACAAGTTCATGATTCGATTCACTCGCTGCAGGACCAAAGTCAAAACCACCATCTGCAGTAGAATCTTTCTGCTGGGGCGAAGCAGAACCAAGTTGCTCTGGCTCTTGCCCGCCACAGTCAGACACTGACACACCGGCATCTGGACGAGCCAAATCTGCATCATCATCATGATGGGCAGAATCATCCTCATCATCTCTCTTACGTTTGCGAGCGCTCTTGGCTTTCGCTTTGCCTTTGGCCTTTGCTTTGGCCTGCCGCTTCGCTTTCTTAGCCTGCAATTCTGGCATGAGATCACAGGTCTAAAAAGAGTCAGCAAGAGTCAAATATGTTTTCGTCCAATATTATGCATGCTACATTTATTCATGGAAATTGTTGCCCACAAAAGGACAGCAAGGACGAGAGACCCCGCCTGTTTCTCTGCCAGTTTCTCTTTGAGCCACTTATTCCACTGTTTCCTCTTTTGGACAGGAGAGTCTTCATCTTTCGTCTTTTGAAGGCCTAGAAAATCTACTCGTTCATCTGAATCCATCTGGCCGAACAACGCATCCACAAAATCTGCGAACTCATCTGGATTTTTTTGTTTCTGTGGTTTATCTTTGCTATCCCTTTCAAGCACCGAATCCACATAGAAGCTGTTGCCTTGCTGCCCCGCTAAGATCTGTAGACTTGTTCGAGTCATTTTTTGCGGTTTCTCAATCCCCATGCCTTCGGCAATCAGTTGCAGTGACTTGTTTGTGAGCTCCTTTGTTTTCTCCAACAAGACATATTTGACCAAAGGCTGGGGATCACCAGTCTGCACCAAGACTAAGCCTTGCTCATCACACCACCAGGCCTTCGTCGGTTGCACTTCATAGTACTCCGGGTCAAAGACGCAAAGCCATTGAACTTGCAAGTCTGGGTTGAAACAATAGCGCCAAGTCCAACGAGGGTGGACATCAATGTTGTCAATCACCTTCAGGGGCCAGACCAATGTGCTCCACTGATGCTGGTTCAGAATCAAGTAATAGCGACCAGCTGCATCATCTACACGGTTGATCACGAGACCAGTAAAGCACAGCAGATTCAGCTGGCCAGCCTCAGGGACTGGTGTTAAAAAAAAACATCAGGAAACAGACAGAAACCATTTCCAGGACCCAAAAGCTAGTTTGAATGAACCCCGCCTTGATGCGAATCATCGAATCCTGAAGCTTTTCTGCTGAGTAGTAACGCAACCAAGACCAAGCAGCAGATGATCTAACCAAAGCTGGTTCTGTGAGAGCAGGCCAAGTTCGGTTCTTCATGATGATCATGATGTGACCAAATTTCGCATGAAGTTTGTGATTGCGCGGTCTGCCATGCTTGCGAGGCTGGAAATGGCGATGTGTTTTGCGAAGGTTTTCCAAAAATACCTTCCTTGTGATGACTGGGCCGTGTCGAATCTTCCTGCTGTCCAACACATTGCAATGATTGCAGATTTGCTGCACACACGCGGGCGTCATTCTGTCATTTGGTCGAGCCTTTTGAGCGTTTCGTAACCTCTGGTGCACATCTTCAATCAATTTGCTGTCTGGAACACTGAAGACCATCGAGCGAAGCATCTGCACAGCAGGCACAGTTCTCGCAGAAAGCTCCCAACCATGGACTTCAAGCGCAGTTGCCACCAAACGTAGGGGCGCGGAAAAAACCAAAAGTAGGTCTTCCAGCAGAGAGCCAGAGTCTGCGGTTGATCCTTCGAGGCTCAAGAGTAAGCAGAAATCTGTTTTGAATTTGCACAGGCCAGCGGCAGACCCTTCCACCAGCGAAGCATAGGCTGCACACCCCGAGGAATGTTTTGCCAAACTTCCTGCCCTGTGCTCCAAAAGGTCAACCACATAAGTCCAAGCTTTCGAGGAAAAATCTTGTTCATCGATTGCCCATCTGGCAACCGGTTTCCATTCATCTTTTCCAGCTGTAGAAACCAAGGCGGCGAGTTCCACCAGTTGAGCGCATGCCTGCCAGTTGGCTTCCATGTGCAAAGCATATTTGAATCCATCTTCGGCATTTTGAATTTCTTCGACTTGCTCGGAGTAGTAAGACCACAGAGGCCTACCCGCCACCAACAAAATCATGCAATTCTCCCAATATCTTTCGGATAAACATTGGAATCCCAAGTGGAGCCCGCCAACTCCAGACTTTTTCAGTTCTTGAAACTTTTTTGCGTCTTCTCTGTCAGGATCCTCTGCTTCTGGCAAGTACCACCGCAATACCATACGTGAGGCCCACCATTCTCTCATTTGGAGATGCGCAGCAGATAGCCACGAAAACCACCTGCTCGATTCGGGAGCTTCAGACTTAAGCCTCCACGAAACAAGGTTTTGCCACAAAGAATCCAAGACAGCTTGCTGATCTTCAAACGTGACAGTAGGCATTTGGAAGTCTGCGCCAACGCGGTCAATGTATTCCTGGACGACATCGTCATCCTTAGTAAAAGAAAGCAACTGCTCATTTCAAATGCAGCCGGGAGCCAAAGAGAGGCTCACACAAAAACTGATAATTCAATGTTAGAATCTTGTAACAAGCTGCAGAGGCATGGATTGTTCAAGCATGGTAAGCCATTTAGTGCCATGATAGTCGCAGCACAGGTTCGCACCGAATCACACGAAACATTTCACTGAATTTAACCACATCTGAACAGAGTGCATGGCATAAGTCAGTGTGCAAGTCCGGAAGTCGCAACAAAAATGCTAGACTCGCTGATCCAATTAGTTCAGGCAAATCAACCGTAACCACTGGACACAGAAAAGCAAAAGTGAAGCGATTCCACAAAAGACATTTATTTGACATTTGAAGTATCACGGGTTCAATACCATCCCAAAACCATGATGTGACTGCAGCCAAGGCACAACACAAACGGAACGGAGAAAGGTTTGTAGCGCCTCTGTTTTTTCAACAAAAAAGGCTCCACTGCCATAGGGTTTGTAGTTCACCCCAAACCAGTACTGAGATGCAGCCTGAGCCTGCATCAAGCAAGCTTGGGCAGACCGCTCCTGGCTCAATCTCATGTCCCGTTGCAGGCGATGGAATTTGTCGAACTCTGTGTGTATCATGAACCCTTGGTCCAGCAGAAACGCAAATCCTGCTGCGCCGACAGATCCCTGGTCTTGCATCACAGTTAGCGATGGCAAAGTGTTCACTGCCATGTTCACATCAAAGATCTCCGAGCTGCCATCTGAGAACAAGATTCTGAGGTTGCCATTGTTTAACACCACTCGTCTCCAACCAGGCTTCATTCGTTGGAGGGCTTTGCTGAAGGTCACTGGTACTTGAAAACATTCTAAATCCAAGTTCCCAGCTGTGATGAGGTAGATCTGGTAGCTCAACGATTGGAGCAGCCGGTAGCTGCTTACACGGTCCGCTTCTCGTCTAGCCAGAAGCCGCTCAACATCATCTTCGACATCGAACTCGCCAGGGCCAACGCACTTGGCTGCTGACAGGGCTTGGCACGGGGCAAATCCCGCAGTGTTCAAGAGAGGATCAAAGGCTACAGTAACAATTGTGTTGCGGCCTCCGTGGGTGCTTCCATCTGTGATAAGTGTCAGATGTCGGGAAAACTTGAACAACAATTGCGTACGCGCAAAGTACATGCTCAGCAGCTTGTTCTGCTAAGCACAAGCAGACCCTGCGGAGCCACCGCGTTTCACTTTGGCCAACCGATGCAAGCTAAGGTGCTCATCTTGAGCTTGACATACCAAGTCCCACACCTCGTTGGGATGCAATCGTTTGGTAACCTTCTTGCCAGGACTGTTTCCAATGGCACCGCTCTCTCCCACAATTGCTTGTTCATCCGCTTCTTCGAGTTGCCTTGTCAGGGGTGAGAAAACTCAACTTTCACAACCAGCAGGCTAAAAGGGAACCGCCCCAGGACTAAGAGAATCCATCTTTAAACCATTCATGATATATCTCTCTCTTTCACGCAAGCGAACTGATAAAATTGGTCCTGGAATATCTGCGCGAAGGGAGCTGCACATCAGGGCCAGCGCGGTAGAGCTGCAAATTCGTAAGAATCTTTATGTGGAGAACATCTGCAAGACCTTTCAGAAGCTGTTTCAACAATGATTCCACTAAATCACCGCTTATCTTCTTCCAGCGTTGTTTTCCTTGGGATCTTCTGATTCTCTTGGCCAAAGTCAAAAACATGGCTACATCCAGCAAAGGCAAGGGCTGATCATTGCCCTCTGGCCAAGACGTGGACAACTGCTCCCTCATGGACTCCCATTGCTGTCTCCACGCGTCCACCACGGCTAAATGCTTTTGCCGAAGAAGCTGTTGGAAATTGGTGACCATTCCAGCTGAATCTACCATGTCACCCAGGTCCAAGCCCCTATTTTCCCAAGACAAGTCCACAGCCAGTCCAACGACGAACCTGAGGTAGCCCAAAGCTAATTGCATTTTCGAAGTAGTGCGCGTAACATCAGCCACTCGACTTAAGTATGTCAAGACCAAACCAGTTGCCGCACAGTTTGCGCTCAAAGCATTTGGCCTGCACATGGGCTCTCATTGGGCAGAAATTAAACTGTATGAATTTCAGAGATAACACGAAACATTGGCAGTCATGAAGCTTCTGATTCGTGTCGCAATTTTGTCTGTCTGTTAAGTGTTTAATAAATAAAAGCTACTCTCCAATCATCCAAGTCTTGTTCAAGTGAACTAAAAGTCAATTTTCCAAAGCCGCACCTGTCCACCTTGCCCCGAATGTGAAGCTCATTCTCCAACTCATCACACATGGCAAGGCGTTTAAAGTCGTTGAGAAATTTGGAGCTTTGACGCTCTTCAGCTTCTTCACGAAAAACATCCCAAAGATAGCCAAGGTCCCAGAACAAAATAGTTCCCTGGCCTTCGCGATAAGCTACTTTGGACGGATATTTGCCTTGCAGAAACACCAAATGCGTGGAGCCCTCGACGGTCAGGATGGGCTCCTGCGGGTGCCTCCATACCAATGGCTCTTCCGCCAGCTGCGGATTGCCCAAGTCATTGTCTTCCATTGGCAAGGGGCCAGAAACCCTAGTCACTGGACAAGATACAGCCAGCTGAATTTCTGAATGCTTCTAGCTGTCCAGTTGTCAACATGTAAAAAGGTTCATTGTCTGGCGCTAACCACGACATATGGTCTGGTGTTTACAAGAGTGCTGCGCTCTCCAACCGCACATGATTTCTCCTCATCTGGTCGCGTTGCAGGACATGTGTCATTTGCATTTAACATATCACATATGCCATGTGTCATGTGAGAATGTGACTCGTTCCAAAAAAGCAGCAGCAACATGGTCAAATGACGTCCTCACTCGGCAGCAGCCAGTTGAAACATAGTCATATGATACACTCTTTTCATTTGAACATATGGCAAAAGATCAAATGGCCATGTAACATGAAATTCAGTCAGCAGATTCAGTTGCAAAGCCTGGGATATGCAAAGTCACGCCTGTGATGCAAACCATTGCGGCACAAGACAATTCACCAGCCCACCTGCCCATCGTGATCTTGGAGTTACTGGCATGGAAACAAAAAATCGATCCACAAGAAGTGAAGAGAAAGACACATTTGAACACATGAACCAAAGCTCACGCAAATGCAGCAAACAAACTCTTTGGAATGTAATGCTGAGTGAAGTAATCTGAACATACCAGCACTTTGACAGTGATGCATCAATAAGTGACACCTGAAGTGCTGAAGAATCCACTTTTGCAAATCAACATATGAAGTACATGAGCCAGTCAACATACACCATAATGCAAGGTTCAAACCGCATTCAAAAAGACAACAGACTTGCCAAGCATCAGGTGAAACATCTTGAGCCCAACACTGAACGCTGGAACCAGGTCCGGCAAGACACAGCTCTTGCCAGGTGACACAGCTCTTGCCAGGTGGAAGGTTTGACTCGCCTCCACATTTTTCATGGACAATGCTGCCGAAGCATCCAAACATGAATATGCAACAGCTTTCAGTATATACACCAAGGCTGGGGCACTATTGCAAATGCTTGGGTTTACCAACAACTTTCTTGATACCTTAAGGTGACAAACCTCAACATGATCATGCTCTACATGAAAATTATGAAAATGAAACTTAAAATCATGGACCACAATCGCACAAAAAACTTTTTATTCCGCGGTTCTGCATCTCTGGGCTCACCAGCAGCTGCTTTTAAGAAAGCAGGCGTCTGCTCATAAGATAGTTATGATCGAACTGTGGCAACTGGTACGACCTTGGCAGATTGGACTTGGGCCCCAACACAATCTTTATTTTCATACAAGTGGACATTGCATGATATGATCACTTCATCAACCACATACTCGAAAATAAGTTAACTAAGTAGTTATAGTAATCCTACAAAAAAACATGCCCACGAGTCGCAACCCAGCTGTGGCAAGTGTTGCTGCAGTTTTCGAAGACCAGTATCAATATGATACTTGGCATTGACCAAAATCCAGTCCAGGGCTTTTTGTTGCCCATCTCACCAAACAGATCTCAGTCTGATCAAAGAAACTGCTCAGATGCCTCTTCTGCATTGCTTTCATCCTCATCCTCCATGGCCCAACCGTCGCTGTCCTCCTGGACAACCACATCATCATCACCATCTTGTCCACGATTGGTAGAAGGCGCCTCTGCCATCGTTGACGATGCACTGCCTGACCCATTGTGCATCGTCGTTGAGGAAGGGGCCATGGAAGCAAACACATCTGACCATCCACGGCCAGCACGTTGGTGGCATCTCAAGGGACAGGCATTGGCTGCACTGATGTTTGCCACTTCCTTCCAATGCTGGACGCACTGAGCATGGAACACATGCCCGCACGGAATAACTGCATTTTGGGAAGGGACCTTCATTGGCTCCTGGCAAATCACACACCAGGGGTACTCCACAGCGCGTCCTGTCTCATCTCCATCTCGATTGGGGCCCACTGGAGTGTCACGGCTTCCTTGTCCATCCTCACTGCATCCCAGGACCAAAGTAGTATCTGAGCGGTGATCATCATCATTTCCTGCATCATGTTCAGGCTCAGGCTCAGGAGAAGCAGGTGGCGGTGGTGCGACAACACTTGAGCTCTTGGACGCAGCGGTCGCCAACAAGCCTGCCATGCTCCATTGAGGTGTTGGAGCAGCAGGGTTCAGTAGTGGCACTGGGGGCAAAGCTGAAGTCTTCGGCATGCATGCCTTGGGCATGGGAGTCTTTGGAGCTGGAGCCTCTGCAACAAAGACGGGAGGAGGTCCCTTCGGTTTTGGAGGTGGCTGCAAAGTCGCAACAGTCGCAGCAGACCCAGCCACTTCACCACTCTGTTGAGCTGGCACCGGTGGAGGCCCTGGAGGAGGGCCCACCATGGCGGCCTTTGCCATGGCGTCAGTGATGCTGTGGCTTGCTGGAGCCTTTGCCTTGGCTTTCCTTGCAGTCACCGCCATCCAGTCATCAGTCCACCCATACTCCTGAGCTAGGCCAACCACTTCGTAGTCTGTCAAGACAAGGGACAACCTGCTTTGGATCTTCCGAGTGAACTCCTCCTTGCCACCCATGGAATTCACCACCCTTGTACAAGAGGTCTTCAACTTGTTGATGAGCTCCCTGTAAGTGCGAGCTCCTTGCAGGCACATGACTGATAAGATGGATGATATTGCTGGCAAAAGAATATGGTCAAGTCTGGAAGTAAGAGCCCAATGCTATTTGTTTTTCCCAAGTATCAACCATTCAAACAAAACAGTCTGTTCAATATCATCTGTCTTTTAAAAAATGAAAAAGTGGTGATAATCGCCCCAAGCAAAATTTACTTTATTGCAAGCAAGGCTCGAAGCACCGACATTTGAACACATGGCCGCATTCGAGTGAACAAGTAGATGCAAGCAAGCAAGCCCGTCACGGACAGGTTGGCTGTCAGCGTGGCATCGAAAGCGGCATCCAACCGCTCACAAATCTCCGAGAGCCACCGACGAGGAATGTTCTTCAACAACGACGCGCTCCTAGTGACTATTTGATCCAACTCATTATCCTCCACTGGGCCCATGTTCCCCTGTCCTGGCTGTGGTGGCGCTGGCGCCTGCAAAGGTGGTGCAGCCACCTGAGGGGCAGCCACAGGCAGCGCCTTCGGAGGAGGAGCTTCTGATTCCGAATCACTGCTCTCCTGATCCCCGTTGGCAGCCATGGAGTTCATCATCATGCTGGCAGCCATGGGATTCATCATCATGGCCATGGGATTCATTCCCGCCATTGGGTTCATTGCTCGCTTCTGTCGCTTGTTGGAGTGACGCCCCATGTCACACAAGCTTCAAGGCAAACAACTTAAACAAGTTCCCCGATCAAATGACGATATGGCATGTGACTTGAGCATAGCCGACAAAGTCAAAAACAACGCAAGCAAATGAACATGGGCGAATGTTGCACATATGAACCATATGAAAACATGTTTTCCACTGTAAACTGTACTTGCAGCATTGTTTTTGTTCGATCGAGTCTGTCGTTTAGAGAAGTTTGGATCATATCTTCAAAATACATCAAAATACAATTTCGAGATTTTTTGAGATTTTTCGAGATTTTTTGAGATTTTTTTCCCCTTCATTTTTTGAGTTTTAATTCAAAGTAGTATTCGACGAGATTTTTCGAGATTTTTCGAGATTTTTTGAGATTTTTCGAGATTTTTTGAGATTTTTTGAGGCCGGCCATTTTTAAATTAATTTTGCACTTTTTATATTCAAGTAGATCTAAAACACAGATTTTCGAATTCTGTTCAGGTCAGAGTGAGAGTGTGTGTGTGATGTTGTTGAATCATTTCACTGTATGTTGTTTTCTTTTCATATCATCTCGCTGCCGACCTTTGCCATCGCCCAAGGCCATTGGATCCAAAGGACCTACACACGTGCATGATGAAACTGGATACCCGGGTCTTAAACAATGATTTCAATTTCAGAAGCCTCCAAAAGTAATGTTGCATATGTATTACCAGTAACAAGTCAACAAATCATCAATATTACAAATCAGTCGATATGTCATTGAAGTGTAGTGAAGCTGAGACACAACAAAAAGAACCTTTGCCATCAGAGAAGGTCACCACACAACTTCACCGGCACACATGTGGCAGAAACATGTCGGAACAACATGCTGTTTATAACAAAGATCTGATACCAAGACCTTGCAATACAGCAAGCACCTGGCTTGCAATAAATGAAAACTATATATCACAAAATGTAAGCCACCAGCACCATCGACACAACATTTGCAAAGTCCTTAAGATGCAAACAAAATTGTTGCGCCTCGAGAATTTTGACATCTTGCCTCAAGTCGAGCGCACAGTGTCAAATCAAATCAAGCAATCAATCAGTGTCATATGATCATATGTCATATGTTCAGATGACCCACGCATGGCAATCTCACATTCATATGATCATATGAGCAAAGGTCACATGTCCACATGAAGCTGTTGAGTCATCCACAGGACATGTTTGTGGACCCAACTTGGAAAAACAACGAAGATCAAATTATATCAACTTGTGTGTGAATGTTTATTTTTGTTACGCCGCCAGGTTCATAATGCCACAATGGACAAAGAGGCGCAAACCTCTATTGGGTTCACACTGGCTCTGACTCTGCTATGCCGATCCTCCACCAAGTTCGAATCGAGGGGCTGCACACTCACATGAAGGTGAGTGTCAAGAAGACAGACAGCCACTCTCAGTCTCACAGGTGGCAAGTAAACAGTCACCTGCCCTGCTGCGGGAGCTCTGGTCTAGTTCCAACGGGCATGGCGCAGCTGCAACTTGCCATCCCCTAAATCAACCGTTGACAAGTAGCTCTGCAAGTGGCACAGGCTGTCAGCAATGACCTGGTAAGCCGCATGAAAGCCCACGAAGATCCTTCCTTGCCCCTCGTGGGTAATGATGGTCTCCAAGTACTTCAAGGCCGCTCTGGACTCTTCAATTTTGCGCTCAATCATGGCAGCCGGAAACCCTTGTGCGTCAATCTTGTGGAGCATGGGCAGGGGCCCTGCATTTGAGTCATACACAAGGTTGTCAACATACCTGGTGTCTGCAAATGACCCACCAGAAGCAAAACTGCGAAAGGCAACACAAGCAGTGATTGCAATGGCCACCCCATGAGCAGTTTGCTTGTAGTCCTTCCACATGAACTGCACAAACCGTAAGACTTCCTTGCAAGACTCCAACTGAAATTCGCATTCTTCGTCCAACTGGGGCCTCAAAACACTGAGCTGATTCCACGCGGTCTGCAGCTCTGCCTCGCTTAGCAGCTCGGAGGCCATGTTGAAGAGAGAAGGAAAATAAGTCAGCAGGTCAGCTTCTAGCTTTTGAACCCTTAATTTCTTTACAAACATGTCAGCATATGAGCATGTAAGCATGTGAGCAGATCTTTGACTAAGTGAATAGGTCATATGATTTACGTGGGGAGTTGCAGCCACATGTTTAAGCATTGCGAATTCAGCGATTGGAGTGAAACTTCAACAAAAGCTCAATAATTTGCAAACAACAACAAGCTGGCAATACCACTGGTCAACAACAAAACACAAACAACACAAGTGACAACTAAAGACTGCTTTCCAAGATTGGGACCTCAGGTCGTCCCAACAGGCCAGGGCGAAGAGACCAAAGAGGACCAAGCATCACCTGCCAGAGCTAAGACGAATTGCTTTCAAAAGGCGAACCGGACACACATGATGACATGTGACTCAATGCCTTGCTGCGGAACTGACCTTCTCACTGCAAATGCATGCAGGTGTGCGCTGCTTCACACTGAGTGCCCAGCTGCCATTTCCCCAGCTTCAGCCGATAGACCTGGGAAGCTCAGACCCCATGGTTTACGGCTCGATTAGCCATAGTAGGCTTCTCAAAGCCCAGAAGACATTTTTCGAAAACAATGCGCATTGTGTACTATATATATATATCCACATTGCCTGCTTCAGTTCCTTTTCGGCACTGATTCTTGAGGTCGCAGCTAGCAACAGATGAAGGCAGCTCCACCTAGGCTCAAACATATAAGGCAGCCAGCATTAAAACTTGGAAAGAGGTCAAACTTCAAGAACATTTCGAAATGTGTCTTTCAGTCTTCTCGACTACTGATTTGCTGCAAGGAGATCGGACCTTTTTGCATCCTGTCTTTACTACAGTGCTTTGAAAGTTCTGTGCGCAAGGGGTATATTCCAGGCTCCACAAATTCAAAATTCGCAGGCCATTCGCAGCCATCCTGAGCTAAGTGGCTCTTGTCAATCTAATGGCTGACTACGATCAGTGAAAAACTTCGAATCAAGTGAAGTTACCACCATGATCCATTGAGTCACAAGCACAGCTATTCCAAACTTGGCGCATGTCAAATAGGACAGTCAATTCAAGTGGGACGACATGTGCAGCCAAAGCCAGATTCTATAAGTGAAAAGATTCAAGGCCAAGATTCAGCTGGACCTTTTCCGATCAAGTCCTGTCCTTTTTCGACATGTCGTAGAGCCGGGCCTTCTCATTTCCTCAGTGAGTCAGGCTTTACAAGCAAAGCCAGCAAAAGTTAAAGAGACAAACAGTGAAAATTTCAAATGCACTGACTGACAGACAGAGTTGCTATTTGCAGATTCAACAGAATAATCAAACATTGACATGTTCCCCATCCAAACTTAGCCGTGGATGGACCAGCTTATTTGAATCAGAGCGGCGGATTGCCTTCATGAGCCAGCCATCAAAGGACTCATCATCTTGGGCCCGCTTGTACAGAAGCCTGGACCTGAAGCAAGGGACATAGCAGCAAAAAACTGTTCCCAATGCGAGCAAGCTGCTAGTTACAATCCTGTCAACGGCTCTTCATTATGAAAGCTTTCTGCCCACTAACAAAAACAACTCAGAACAAGAGAGCGTAATAGTTTATAATGATATGTTGCCTCAACAAGCGAATCGTTGATATGGAACACGGCAAGCAATCCAGCAGATTCAGATATAATGCACTTCGCTTCACTAGCCACAGTGCAAAGCACGAAAGACATGTTCAGCATGTGCATACTACCAATTTCCTTCAGTACTTACTTCTACTTAGCTTGTTGGGCCCAGGCACAAAATGGCAGCCTGGGACACGAGGGACAAAGTTGACAATCTGCTGCCCACGGTCGTAGAGATGCGATAATCACGCAAGATTTCACACCTTGATCAGCCGCATGTTGGCCCCCAGCGTTTTTGTGCATGTGTGTATGATGTTTCTTCATTGATTGTGCATGATGGTGCCATGTTAACATTGCCCAACCCAATCCTTACCAAGAAACATCACTGGGTCAGTAATTTGCCCATATCCCACCAGCCCTGGTGGTGGTGGCGCAAGCGGCTGGGCTGGCAGTGGCTCGGCCAGCGGTGGTGCTGGTGGCTCAGAGGGTCTTGCGCTGCTGCTGGCTGCTGGTGCTGCAACGCGATTTCTGGGCCCAGGTCTGGCCTGCAAGATCCAATGACAAAGTTGATACTGAGACACTTCACTTCAGTAAGTTTTGTAAACAGCTTGTGTCACGCAAATTAAGTTTGTTGACAAGACATCTGAACATTTGCTCGCCTTCTTCTCCGGGCGTGTCATATTACTGTCCAAACCATCAAGGACTTGCCTCACGAATTTCATCATCATTCATTGCACTCAATCATTTGGCTAGGACATGCTTGCAATATGTTGGTGCAATGTCAATGTCAACGAACTTACCATTGACACATATCTTTGCACATCTTTAGGATTGGACTGCCCACCAAGGCGCTGAACCCAGTTCGTATGACCCCAGAGGGTGCATTCATACCAGATGTTGACGGTCTTCTTCAGATGTAAGACCCACGAGCGCTTGATCTGCAAGCCAGGTGGATAGAGGCTCAGCACCATGCAGCCCCTTAGCAGCGCAAATGGCATTCAGACACTGACATCCTGGCCAGTCAATGGATGACTTAGCAAACGGATGCCTTTGGATTCGGGCAAAATTTGATTCTAATCTCAAGCCTATCAGTGGCTTGCAAACAAGAAACGCAACAGACATGCAAAATAAAACCGCTTTGTTTCCACACACCGGCATTCCACATGAACTAGTTGGTTGCAGCATGACTTCTCTAAATGAACTCCAAGCTTCCAATCAAAAGACATAGCTTCGGATTCCAGTGTGACCGTTGGGTCCAAGCCGTTGAGGTTGTGGCATGTCACAATCCTTTGGCAATCCCTTTGCCAGTCTTCTGACAGCGATTGGAAAGCGACTCCAACCTCCACCCCAAAAGCCTCAGAAGTCAAGCCAGAAAACAATGATCAAACGCAGCTGTATCCATCCGATAGCCAAAACATGTTGCTGGTAAATTTCCTTGACCCATGAAAACAAAATTGCGTATTGCAACCACCAATTCCGTTCGTGTGACATTCTGAAAGTCAAGTCAAGTTGCTTCAAGGACTGCCGCCACAAGAGATACCATGGCAGATGTTCGATGGAAGCCCCGACTGCAGCAAATCCTGCGAAATCACAAAGAGAACTATAGTTAGCCACAAAAGCGAAATGTAAAATTTTATAAAAGAGACACTACCTAACATCCAACAAGAGAGCAAGAGTGTCCAGCAATGCCATGTGTGCAATGAAGCAGTCCTCAAAAGCCTGCCAGGCTTAGTGAGAAGGATTCGCAGGCATTGTTGCGCACGAGGGTGCCGGAAGACACTCTGCATGATGTGGGATTCCAGACCTGGTTCTTCTCCATAGCCACCCTTTGGTCCTCCGCGCTTTTCCCTTAGCTGTCAATGCTTAAAATTTCACCGCAGGGGCTTCATCACAAAAAGCACAGAAAAGAATGAATGTGCTCACTGATATCAATGTGGCAAATTCCGAGATTCGTCTTCGGCAAAAGTTGCGCCAACCGATGTTCCCAAACATTTTCACCGAAGACCTCCGAAGGAATCTCCCCGTAGCTGGACACATACGCCTTCTGGAATGCTCCTCGCCTCTTCACTTGGACTTCCATCTGCCAAGGCGCAGACATTGTGATTGAGCGAGGTAATTGTCAAAACTACTTCCCCAAGCCATGCGTTCTCTCAGAAACAAACTGCTGTATCAGAAGGACACTGAAAAAAGATTCTAGTGTATCCTGGCTCTACGTAGCATCGAGCTAGAGTTTCTCTGACAAATCCGTATAACCTTGGGTAAGTGGGCTTTGCGATTTGACTGAAATCAAAGAAAACGCAGCACTTCTCGCCTCAGGGCCCCAGACCGCATTTGGCCCCACTCCATAGCCAAGGATAAGGACGCGAGCTGGCCAATTGATGGTTTCACCAGTTGGAAGCTTCACCGGGATGGTCTGGGCGGCCTCAATGCTCAAGCAAAGCGGTTGAATGACAAAGGCAAGTGCACGAAAGGGTTTCTGCAAAATTGACAAATTGGCCACTCAGCCAACATGTTGACTATGTAGGAACAAGTGAAAAGCCCTTGACACAGAAGCGGCTTAATGAAAGAACACCAGCAACAGTGACTGAATAAGTAGTAGCACTGCTGAGTGAAGGACTAAAATAACAGCAGCGAATTAATGATTGTAGATATGAATGACCTAGCATTCCTGCGCAACAACCATTGTTCCAAATGTCCTGTGCCTTTTCACATTTATGATTTATGGTGTGTTAATGGGCTGAGCTTGGCCCATGAGCACCAAGCCCAAGGCTTCTCATCAAAGGCCGAAACACTATAGAATCAGTACCAGCCCAGCCAAGTTGCATTTCGGGAGTCACTTTTTCCCGGAATGCTCTCTGAGCTCTCCGTCAGCTTCTGCTGCCCTGGGCACAGGGAAAAAAACAAAACAAGTGAGTCTCATCACATGGACAAACAGACTGCAGCAGAACGTAGCTGTGAAAGTGAACCCATCTGAAAGTAAGGAGGCAATGCGCTGTTCCCTCCCAACTTGGCACACCTATAATCAAGCCTAGTCGCATTTGGAGACCATTGTCCACACACTTGAGCAGCCACCCTTCCAAAGACTTTTTTTGACAGTTCGTCACAGTCTGCCTCAAAGGAAGAAAAACAGCATTGGTTGACAATCAATTCCTTGTTCTTGGTGTTTCCGCTTATCTAAAAAAACATCAGATGAACATAGAATTGGGAAACAATTTTAAGATCAAAATCTATGAGCAGTAAGAGAGTAACGCCGCCAGGGCTCACTGTGTTCGCTGCCAAACTGGGATCCACCAATGAGAGGAGATACACCGCCTGAGCTAACATTTTCACACGATAAGGTGAAAAACCTGGCGCTACATGAAAGAGTTAGAAGGCTGGTTTGCCGCCAATCTAATGGAGACAAGCGTGTGACATGTTTTTACCTGAACTTCCTTCGAAATTTGATTCAGGCTGTCTTGCTGTCCAGTGGCCTGCTGTCCTTTCCTGCCGGCCAGAAATTCAACAAAAATCTTGGCTGCACTCACAAGTTCATCACGGTGGACCAACAAAAACAACAGTTCAGTTTGCAGATCCCCAGGCCTGTTGGGGCGATCTGCAGTTGACTGCAGATGAGGTGTCCAAGTTGCTGGCAGAAGCTTGAGCGCAACGGAGTCCATGAGCCGCCGAAACCAGTGCCGAAACAAATGATGCTTTATAAATATGAACTTCTAAACCATTAGCCAAGTTCATTTTGATAACATGATATCCACATCGCATAACTGCACATCAGGAGTCACATGACCATATGTCATTTGACATGTGACATGTGAATGTTCACGGTCCATGTGAGCATGTGAGCACTGCAGCAGCACAAAGACACGCTAACTCAAGATTGGAAGATCAAATGAAAATGACATAGTCCATTTCAGCACTGAACATGTAATTCCTTTTGTTCATTCATAAGGCTTTGAGGTCAAAACAAATGATTTTCCAAGGTCCAGACCGTATCTCATGTAGTGAATCAAAATGGGTGGGGGCCCAGCCAATGAAGACCTGGGCCATAGATTCAGAAACGGCAAAATGGTCATCAACAATTACATTAACTAACTCAAAGTAAGTGCATTGAACTATTCAGTCATTGCATCACAAACATGTCTTAATTTATCATACCACATGAAAGCGACCAACTAGTTTCGCTTTATTGATCAACAACTGCATCCAACTTTCTCAACGTGCCGAATCCCAGCCTCGAAAAAAGTCTTCAAAACATTCAAGGTTTTACCTGGTCACAAGCAGTCGAGGCATTGAAAAAAGAAACACAAACACTACAATCGTCATCGGTCAAGTTGTGGACAAAAGGTACACTTCCACGACTGAGCTCAGACCAACACAAACCCAAATACCATTTGTCAAAGACAAGTTAGTGTGACGGAAGCAAGCTTGTAAACAGTTGATTGCTCTGCATTTTTGTTGAAGCTTCTACATTCCAATTATGATATTGTTCTGCAGACAAACTAAGCCAACTGCGAACTGGGGAACAGAATCGAACTGCTGCCTGCCCATTCACATGTCTCTCCCCGCACTCAAATATCAGAAGCCATGTGGTTTGCAGCCTGAGTTGTATGAGAGCTCTCTGATAATAAGGTTACCTTATTTGCCTGATACCATTCCTTCAACATGATATGCTAAAATGGTATCTATAAAAGAACCTCCGTCCCAGCCTGGTGGGGTGTTCCAAACTCGCAGGACCTGGCCAATGTCGAAAGTTTCCACAAACTCAAACATAAATCAAACAGTTGCAGCTCCTGGGCCCAGAAACCCATTCCAAAATGGACAGGGAAAGGAACCAGCAACAGTGTCATTGCAAGATCACATCTACAATACCTATTGAATCCATCATTGCGGACAAGAGTTGACTTTAATACATTAGTTAAAAGTGAAAGACCAATTGCTAAAGACATGCCACATTTTCAACAGCGCTCGGTTAAGGTTATTCATTCTTGAGGCGCTATAAATGTGTTTAAAAAAGTGGAAGCGAAAGGCAAGTCAACAACAAAACCGCTTCTGTTCCCTGCCTGCGCATTGGCAAAAAAGATCGCCAGGCATAGTCTCTCATACGGTCCTGCCAAGATGTGCACTGGGTGGTGAGGATAATTTTTGCACTGCTTTGAAAGCCACCCACAAAGGGTTATTTTTGAGAAATTATTTCATTTGCCACCGGCTTAACTACTCATATCTTGCCAAACACAAACGAAACATACTATGATGCTGGACTTGCTCTGTTGAAACTTGTTATTGTGAAACGGCTGATGGTTGTTTCCTAGTTCCGATATGACTTTCACTTCTTCCCTGAACAAACTCAAACAGATTCCGAAGAGTTGGTACAAACAACCAAGTTCCCAGGTACAGGTTTCACAAGTTAATTTGACAGAACTTTGTCTTCCAGGCCAATGTTGTTGATTTTGACTTACATGTGTCGCAGGACAAGTGGCAAATATGTTTCTTGTTGGCCAAGGGTTCTCCATTGCCGTTTCAAGTTTGTAAAATCTTCCCATTGACGATTGAATGCGCAAAAAGGGATCTGCTTGACAACAAGAACTGCATGATTCTGTACAGAACAAAGTTTCCCGATGCATCGCCTCCCAACAACAAATCACCCAGTCCTCCCTCACCCAGCCGGAATGAATGACTGGAAAGAGATACCTGGCGTGCAAGAGACAATTATGACTGGTCGAACATGCGCACTCAGTCAATCTTATTATATTTGGTGATCAATCACTACATGAACTACGCAAAAGAACCTACAATGGGAAAAGAAGGCAACAAGTAGGACCCCAAACTGTTTCGCTCATTTATACTGATATGAACATTTTGTTAAAGCACGACACATCGTATTGTAACATCCTGGCCTGAAGTTTTTTTTGGCACACTTCGCAGTCCCGCAAGCGAAGCCGTTTGCCAAAGCGGCATCACAGAGTCATGTGACATTTGAAATCAAGATTTGGAGCAGCTGCTATGACATATTCGAATCTTGAACGCCAGGAAGTAAGCAGCCTAAGACACCCGCTGCATCTGACAAAAACAGCCCTCCACTCACAAAAATGACTTGTCCATCTCCACTGCCAGGTTGACCTCAGGGTACAAAGAACCAAATTGACTGCAAACCATTTGACATGAATCACCGACACACCCATGACATGTACTTTGCAATCGCCAATCAATCATTACTGGTTTGGACTATCTTTGAGTCAAGTAGCTCTCTTGAAACGCAAAGGTATCCCCACCATAGTGGATAGTGTTCTGAGAAGGAACACACAACCAGTACTGTCCATCTATCTGGACAAGGGTGCGCCATCCGGTGACCTGACAGCCACCGAGCCAAGTCAAATTCTAAATTCTTCTGATGGTTGTTCACTGTTGGCGATCAACTTGAACAATCAAAGCGCACTGTTGGCACACAAATAACCATGAGAGTGAAAGAGAGGTACGAAGTTGATGATTATGAGAATGATGTTTGGCAACCACATCGTGGCATGACAGCATGACCCTTCCTTCAAGATACCCTGCCTCCGTGTTGCAGAGCTGCACAAAATCGTGGGGGGGCATACGGGGATTCTGACTGGCCAAGAGCCGAAATCCATCCCAACAGAATTCTTCATAATCTCGATAGCACGCCCTCAGCTGCAAGTCAATGACTCAACATCCATGATAACACATACGCAAAAAGAAACAAAATTGGAGAACATTAGCCAATCCGCTAATACCTGAAGCCATGCATTACACAACTGCAGACCATGCCCCCACAGAAAAGCAAAAACTAGCACAGACCAATCACAAACTTTCTATTCCTGACTTTCCAAATCAAACAACATAATGATCATCAGGACATAGTACCTGCAATGAGACCTAATGGGAAAAACAAACATGGCACCCATGGGCCATGGCGTGACTGTTGCTACCTAGTCACTTGAGGACAGGGTGGTCATTGACATGTTCGATTCGAATCTTGCGGCCCCCATCAATCCTCAAGTACATGACAGCCATACATGAACAAACTGGCTGGTTTTGAATACATTGGGTTAAGATGACAGTCTGTTCAGCGATTGCAAGAGACCATATTATCTTAAATAACATTCGACATTCACAGTTGTCATGTCATGATGGTGAAACGCAACCAAAGGGCACATCGTGTTCAGGCATTGGCTTCCGTTCAACCTCCACCGTTTCGATTGGAGTAACTGGTCATACTAATTGAAACAGCATGCGAAAACACATGCGCACACCAGTTCAAGTTGTTGAATCAAGACACACATTGAATGATCTGATAAGATTTGATCAATTTGCAATCCCGGGGTTAGCCCTTGCCTCTGGGAAGTATTTGATTCGCATCGGGTCCTGGAGCATGAACACCCTCCGGCTCCGAAGACTGCTGCCATCACGATTCCCAGAAGCGGGGCCAACCAAAGTCTTTGATCGCCGAGGCATCACTCCAAGTCAAGCAAACATGCGAAAATGTGACAAATGATGGTTCTGAGCCAAAAGCAACACAGCTAAGACTTCGGAAAATACAGCTCTGCCGACCAAGCACGGCCACAGCTAGTTAGTGTGAGATTGCCTGTATACCAAGATGGTCATTGACTTCTCCCAACTTTCTCCCTAAACAAACTCCATTGGTTTGCTTCAGTACTACAAACTCAAAAACCAACTGCTGACATGAGAGCTGTCGCAAACCCCTCCAGGAGGTAAATGTTTCCATTTCTTCAATTTTCGCTTTTCATAAATCGTTCTGGCAGCAAATCAAACAAGCCAGGTAAACTTCTCCCAGGCAGTGGAGACAATGATGGCGGCCAAAAAAAAGGAATGGGGCATGGTCCAATCAGTGCCTTGGGCCTTCACTCAGACAGGCAAGGCTGCTGCAAATATAGCATCTGCTATGTAAATGACTTGTAACTGTCATACATCAGTGCCATACCTAGTCCAGTCTTCTAACATTGAATCATGCAGGTGACATGTTACATTGCCAGCCATGTCACAGTTTGATTGGTGTAATGAACATGGTTGTCAATGCATCAAGTCCAAAGTTCTGACATGATAAAACAAAAAGTGGCCAAGTCAGCTTGATGTGGCCTGTGGAGCATGTGGTATATGAACATATGAACATATGAACAAATGAACAAATATGAGCATATGACATATGTGAAGCCATGAAGAATCAGCAGCAAACAATTTCCAAGTTCACCTGTTTAAACCTAAAAATTCAACTTCCCCACTGTGTCCAAATTCTATCTCTTCATGCAACATAGTCTGCCATACAATACACTTCTGTCAGCCCCTTTCTTAACAGCATAAACAAACAAATAAAGGATTAAAAAAACACCTTCAGCGTATAGATTGCTCAAACCATGAACTCAAAAACGCTCAAACATAATACTTTCTGACATCCAGGGTTTTGGCAAAACTATCACTGATCTAAACCCTCCCTGATCTAACCCCAACATCGAAGTTAGTGATATATATATATATGGCATATGCCCGTTTGGCCACGGATTACTTCCGCTCACTAAGTGGGAGGGATTAGCTACAGTAGCACTTTTTTTACCCATGGACGCGATGAATTATATCCACCAAGATCGGTATATAAATATACCAATACACATCATATAATAATGGGGATATAGGATGTAATGGGGATATATACTAATATACCAATATACCAATAATGGGGATGTATATGAGGGTTTCCATAAATAGGGATACCCAAAAATTGGTGGTTTATTTCATGGAAAATCCGAAAATAAAATGGATGAGAACTGGGGGTACCCCTATTTTAGGAAACCTCCACATATATATATATATATGTATCCCGATGATATCCGACGGTATCCTCATAAATTGCTGGTTTGAAACATAGATATGTAGCTGTATAGAAATGACATGTATGTACAAATATGTTCATTGTATACATATATACACAATGTATGGATACATGATACATGTGTATCTATACACAGACAAGTAATACATATACCCACTGAAACCTTCCCCCTGGGGCACCACACCATCACGCCAGGGGAGTAAGTTTGTGGATATCATCAACGAGCTTCTGAAGGAGCGACTGACAAAACTCGTACCGACCTGTGGAGAATGTTTGATCTGGGTTTGTTAAGGAAGGGAAGCAAAACCAACCTGGTTGGGTCTATCCTCCGCAATCTAACATAGCCGATGGAAAATGACCCATTATTTTTAGATGATTTGCCAATAAAAAATGGGGTTGTGTCATAGTTATGTTCAAATTACTAGAGGGTACATGAATGGCCATCCAATCAACTAACGCTTCAAACCTGAGAATCGGACATGTTTAGAGAAATATAGTTTTCTGGCCTCCGTTTTGGTAGGATCTATGTGAGGTACCTTAGGGCGATGTTACCGTTCCCCCAACTACAAACTTAAAGTATCCAATAAGGTGGTTTTTGTAGAATATGCATAATTATAATCGGGATAGAACATGATAGAGCTACCAACAACGTGATGTGGGTGTCTCTGAAAATCAGGGATATAAACAATACGTGGCCATGTCATGTTTTTTAAGGCCTTTGGAAAATGAGGATTTTTACCAGTGCCCTTCTTTCAAAAGCCCCTGATTAGACACTGGTGGAATCAGCGAAATGGATGATCCAATTCTCCATACCAATGGATCCCAGGATATCCGATTGGTTTTTTTTTGCATCGACGCTGGGAAATGCGGGGTTTCAGGTTTCTGAAATGTTATGGTTAGAAATACCCTCTGGTAAACTAACATAACTATGGGAAATCACCATTTTTAATGTGTAAATCCACTATAAATGGTCTTTTTCAATAGCTATGTTAGTTTCCAGAGGGTATGGCGAGTTCACCTGAAACTATGGAGAGTTCACCTGCAAACATCCGGACTTCAACAGCAAGGATGGATATGTCAGACGCAAAAACCGTGCAAAAGATATCGATCCAAGCGACAGAAACTGGTTGAGTCCAATGAAAACATATGAAAACTATCCCAGCAAAAATGTGGTTTGACCGACGTGAAACTGGGTTGCTCCAACCTCCAAACCATAGGCGAAACGTGTTGGGAAATTCTGAGGTGAAGCCAGTTGGCCGGGTCAGCATCCTACCAGGGTTTTTTGCGGTACCATGCGGTACCCAAAACGAAGAAACGAAAAAAAAGAAGAAGAAAGAAAGAAAGAAAGAAGGAAAGAAAGAAAAGAAAGAGAAACGAAAAAAAAAACAAAACAAAAGACGAAACGAATATGTCCAATAGATTCCAATAGCCTAATAATTGCTCATATCATCTAAATTCATCTAATATCCCCAATTAGTGGCTATGTTCTGGATGGGGGTGATGTGTTTAGACATGTTTAGACATGTTTAGACATGTTTAGACATGTTTTAGACCCCATGATTTTTGACCTCGGAAGATCATCCCGGTGATTGGTCAATCTTCCAGGATCGCAATGTGCTGAAACGGGCAGTGGTCCAATGTTTCAAACGTAACTTGGCAGCCTGGCATCTAGGACCATGGGCGATGAGCACAACATGATTCATACCAGCTATGGCAGCTGAGAAAGCTGGACCATTTAACCAGGGTTTTACGATGTTTTACTATGTTTTACCCCGACCGAACGGATGATTAAAGACTTCAAATTTCAAATGACATCAAATGGCCAAATTTGTGGCTCCACTAGCTATAATATTGATACCCCAAGTTGTTTCTTTTTCCGTTGTGCCGGCAGACTTCCGAGCCTTTGTGTTTGTCAGGGCTTTGGATGTGTTCCATTTGGCATCATCTTATTCACCCATTCTGTGGCTAAGATTAAGCTACGAAAACCGAAAACACCAAGCATAAAATGCTGGGGGTAGCCTCAAGCTCCCAACAAGGCTGGATCCATGGGAATGGTTCACATCTTGGTCCATCCATCATTGAGTTGCCCATCTCTTCCTGGGATGATGTCAACCAAATCCCCATTGGTGAAATCCCACATTTTCCGCACTGATATACCCCCTCTAGTTTTGATGATGACCTCACTTCGATCTCACTGTCCCAGAATGGGTTTCAGGGCAAAACGAAGCCGGAGAGCCTAATCAATTTGTTGCTTAAACATGGTAAAATCACTGCATTGAACCATAGACCGTAGATGTTCATAGATTTTCCCTAGCAAACCAATCCACCGATCATGAAATCCATTGAAATCCCCAGTAAAATATAGTAAAATCATGTAAAATCATATTACATCCGCATTTCTGCTGGGTAAACCACCCTATTTTTGGTGGCTACATATGGCTACCATCAAATCTCCATGACATATGCCGCCAGGTGGTGTAGAAGATGAGGACGAAGAATACGTGGACTGCGATGGCTTGAAACAAGTCTGTCAGGCGGTTGATGGCGACCGGTCGGTGTTGACTTTATGGTGGTTGATGTGGCAACGAATCATCCCAAAACAGTGTTTAATGAACTGCAGAACTGGAGAATCCCAACGAATCCTAGAATTGTGGCTAATAGATGCTAATAGTGTTTCAAGTTATAGATTATATAATATGATATAATCATATAAAAACCATATTTACCATCCTTCATAGTCATCATGTATATAACAATGACTATACTGTTTCATAGTCATCATTTACCATCCTGGTGTGGTGCTGTCGTTCCGTCATCCCGAGGCGTTGTCCAAGGTCTTGGAGTTGCCCATGGAAGCCTTCGGCGATTTGGACAGTTCCCTGGATGTTTCGAGGGTTCGAGATCTGTGGTTGGTGGAAAATATATAGCTGGTTAATAGTGGTTGATAGTGATTAATTGAGTCACTATCTGGTTGGTGGTTTCAGACATGGCTGGATTATTTTCCATTTCATATATGGGATGTCATCTTTCCCATGTACTCATATTTTTCAAGATGGTTAACTAAAATATATAGCCTTTAGGGTACCCTCTGGTAAACTAACAGAAGTATGGGAAATCACCTTATTTTTAGTGGGTAAATCCAACATGTAATGCTGGTTGGTGGTTTGGAACAGGTTTTATTTTTCCATATATTGGGAATAATCATCCCAACTGACGAACTCATATTTTTCAGAGGGGTGGCTCAACCACCAACCAGTATAGCCTTTAGGGTAAATGAAACATAGCAAACATCGCAATGGAGAATTCATCATTTATAGATGGTTTTCCCAGCTCTAGACCTCCATTGATAGCGGATTTCCCATTGCGACGTTTGATTATCAGAAAGGATAATAACGGTTCTGACATGTTCTGACATATGGTGAATATATAGCGAGCTAGTATCGGTATCCCATATATGAGATGGGCGAAATGATACAAACATCAGTGGGTCCGCAAAAAAATGGGGTATACCCATTTTTTTACCCCTCAATTTAGATCAAAAAAAAGCAGTTTTATTGGGTTTTTTTATCTGATTTCACCAGTTTTTTTCATGAAATTTGGGGATGCCATGGGATGACACAAAGC